CTCCTGGCCAGAAGCAGGGGGCAGGACAGGGGTGTACAGTGGGGTCAGTGTGCTTCTGCTATTACTGTGCCTTTGTGCCTTTCTCGTCTCTGCATGACTCCAGACCTCTGGGTGCTCTCACAAGGGGTTTGCAGCCCATCATGGTCACAGAGCCTCCCAGGGCTGAAGCAGGAGTGCACAGCTCAGCAATTCATATTGTACAAGTCTGGCTGAGCACCCCTCGTGTGGAGCAGTGACAGAGGTGGCCGAGCCCTGCAGTGCCTGTCCTGTCTGTCAGGATACCTGTACCCCAGCAGCCGTGACCAGCCTCCCTGCTGCAGTGTGTTCCTCTTCCTCAGCAGCCCTCCCCACAGGTCACACACCTCTTCTGCTCCCTCTTCCTGTGTAGCTTGGGAAATGGATTTTCATCTTAGTGGAAGGAGATACTGGTGATGGCTTCAGTGTGGCTTTGGTATTGCCTTGCTCTAGTACGAGGACTGCCCAAAACCCCGTTCCTGTGAACAGGGGCCAAGCCAGCAAGAGCAAGTGGATCCCTCTTCCAGGATCAGCCACAGTTACAAAGCAGGACTGACACTTGGAGCACAGGCTCAAGCATCTCTGCACCGACAGACCTGTGTCGCTGTCAGGCTGGCTGCAGGTGGGACATCCATCAGTGGAGTTTTGTTCATGTGCCCTGCTCCACGGACAGAGCCCTGCTACACCCTGCAGAGATCCACCAGGGTCAGTGACGAACAGGCACTGGTTACTTCCTCACACTTTGAGTTTCACTATTTCTGTCTGCTTCCTTCCGCCACTGGTACAGTCCCACCCAGTTCAGGGTTGGTATCCGCAAAGATGCATGTAGCCTAACCTCGGGCTTTGCATTTCCAGTTGAATCAGCATTTAATAACCAAGTATGTGAATTTTCCTTTTTCTTCCTTGGCTCTCATTAATTTTGTGACTCCCTATCAATTCCCACAGCATATTTATAACACTGGAGCAGGTTTCCTGAAGTGCGGGGACCAGCCTTGTCTGTTACAGATCAGGCCACTACGAAAATGCACACATTCACAGTTAAATCTGCTGTGGCATGGGCAGGGCTGCTATGCTAAACCTACATATATCTGCATGAGTCTCTGATCAAGCCATGATGATGGCCCTGCCTCAGCAATCTGAATTGCCTGGCATTCACCTGAAACAAAGCACAACCCCTGTCATCTCCTTGCATAACCAGAGCAGAAAATCAGTTCCAAGAAAAACCCGGCTAGGCCATGCAAAGCTGTGCAAACGTTGAAGAGCCAGAAAGATGCAATGATCCACACAGTGACTCAAAGCCAGTAACCAAGTGACTCAAAAATGCACAGTGTCTGCTTCATCTGTCTGCTGTACTTAGGGTCAGCTTTCATTTGATCTCAGAAATAAAAACGAGAAAGGCACTAGAAGGCAAATGGCACATAGCAGCCATAGCGCTCCTGCCTTGGGTGAGCCTGGCTTTGGGACAGGCAGTGCTGGCATCTGCGTCCGCTCTGATCACTGCACTTCTGACACTCACCAAGGTGCTCCCGGTGCAGGGCACAGCACATTGGGCAGGGCAGTGGCAGTGCCTGGCTCCTGCAGAGCTCTCGTCCACAGGCCCTGTGCTAGGCTCAGAGCAGGGCACCAGCGCACCGAGTCCCTCTGTCAAGAAAACTATGAATGTCAACCCCAAATGCTTTTGTGACCGTGACATCTTGTGGGCCTCCCACAATACCAGTGCCTGCAAATGCAGTGCTGCAAGCTGGTCCTGGCTGTGCTGTCAGTGCAGATTGCCCTCCCCAGCACGGACCATTGCAGCACTGGGAAGGGAAGGAGTGCAGAGGCTGTGTGCCCTTGCACACTCAGCCTGGGCACTACATTCCTTGACACTTGCTGAGAGACAGAGGGTGACCTCCAGCTTTGTGGAGAGCTGGAAGCACTGGGGAGTGACAGGCCCAGCAGCCACAGTGAAAGACTTGCAGCCCTGTTACAGATGCTGAGAGGAGTGCTCCACAATGCCTGAGCGTTAATGCCACCTGGGTACAGGCACAGCAAAGAGAAACACCTTGTCCAGCCTTGTGCTTTGCTTGCTTACATGCAGGTAAACAGTATGTAAGTGCATACCCTATGTTTGTTACGACCTCAGAGACCGGAGATGTTGCATGCCTTGTTGTGGCAGCTGCCCCTTGATGGCCTTGGAGCCACAGAGACAGTGACCAGCCAATGGAGATGGGATGGAAAAGGGCATGGTGGCTTTGTGAGGCAAAGCAACTCCATGATCTTGCAGTGAGTGGGGTGTGAAGCACCAGGAACCTTTTTCTCTCAGAGCACAGACAGACCAGCCCCTCTCATGACTGAATTTGAGCCCCAGTGATGGAATTCCATAATCTGACCAATCTTCTGCAGCAACAACTGCTCATTTCCTTACAAAGTATTGGGGGGTGTTTGGGGTACCTAGATCACATCCCTTTTGCTTCAAGCTAAACTCGTTGCTTCCTGACCACACCAGCAGCAGACAGGGAGAACATGATTCCCTTCCTTTTGACATCAGCTTTGTACAGGTTCGAATGTTTTCAGACACTTCCCCATTTTACAAGCTCTCAGGGTGTTAAAGAGATACCCATCCTGTCAAATGGGAGGACTGGAGCAAGCTGCTTCTCACAGGGTGTATTTCTAGAGCTTTCTTTTGCTTTCCTCTGGATCCCCTCCAGCTGATCCACTTGCCTCTGGAAACACAGTGTGCAAGACTGGAGGCCTAACAAACAGCTCTGAAGGGGGACACAGAAGAATTTCTTCATGTGTCCTACATGTGACATTCCTGTTTATACACCATAGCAATGTTAGCTTTTTTCGCAACAGGATGACATTGTGGACTTGAGTTCAGTTTGTCAGTCACAATAACCTCCAGTTCTTTTTAGCAGCAGGACTGTATCGTCATCGTGCTGTGCTCATTGTTCCTGTGATTATTTATTCATGTGGGACAGTCAATAAATCTGGCTGTGATGTCCAGGAGTGATTGTGCTGCAGTTCTCAGCTGCCTCACATTGGAGAAATACGAGGCGGTTCATGACTTGTTCCTTCCACTTCACCCTCCAAGTTCCCAGGGAGGGCATTGAACCAGGTCAGAGCTCTTGGCCCATGGCAAATCAAGCAAGGCCATTCCCTCCCGTTTGTGCAGCAGCAACATTAGGAGCAGCTGGACACAGCGGAGCCAAAAATAAAGAAAAGAAAAAGAAAGCCAAAGTAAAGATGAAAGTTAATGACAGTGTCCTCAGTTCCTTCTCTCTTCTGCTGACTGCTGCTGTTGCAGTGAGAACACGGACCCAGGATCGGGCACTGACCAAGCTCAGCTGTGGTACCTGGAGCAGGAGTGAAGTGACACAAGGCATATTTTAGACAATTCTCCATACAGCAGCAGAAATGGAATAAGACTGACTCAGTTCTGCAATACTTTGAAGTTTGCACCTCACTTGCTAGCAGCAACACTGTAGTAAACCTGAGTACATTGCCAAATCAACAGAGCAGCACTTCCCAGCTCTGTCTTCGAACATGTAATTCCAGCACATCAGAAATTCCAAAGAAAGCTTCAGCTCAGGTTGTTGGATGACCTGAATATGAATGAAACACTTATTTCATCCTCTCTTGTGACTCATGATTATGCAACTTTGTTATTCATCTGCCTCTCATGGCAGTTAAAAGCTCTACTGAGCAAAATGGCACTGCCCATGATCCTAAAAGTATACAAAGGGTTGCTGAAGCTTTTAAGCTCATCCTGTCCTTGGCAGCAAGGAGGCCTGGGTCCTGGCACATGAACACAAGTGATCAACACATGCACAGCAGAAGGTGTGTGCCACAGCCTTGCTGCTGAGCGTATGCACGATCCCCCAGGGCCCTTGTCCTAAGCTCCCTTTGGTTTTCCCATTTCCTAACTTATCATGATCATACAGCTCCTGTCCCCTCTATCTGAACTGGGGGTTTAACAAAGACTTCTGTTCTGTTTCTCCCTTACCCCAAACTAAGTGAATTTTAAGGTTACTTTTCAGATCTCTGGTTCTTCCTGGAGTCAGGTGAAATGCTGAGGAGCACTCTCCAACAGTGCTGAGGTGCACAAGCATAGCAGTTCACAGACTATCAAACCTATAGGTTGCTGCTGTTGCTCCTGCAAGGACAGAAGGGTGAAGCTACTTCACTGTTGCCACCAATCTTAGATAGAGGAAACATGTTTCTGCCTCTTATTGACCAATCTGAACCTCTCAGGGCACATATTCAGACACTCTGTCTGAGGCCCCACAGTGTAACCCTGCTTCCAGAAAAGTCTCCGTTTTCCTAAATTCAACAAAAGTCTTTCTTTGCAATGCTAACGCTCTTCCAGGCAGCGTTTGGTCAAACTCCTGGATGAAATCATTCACTCTGGCTTTCCAAGCTGTCCCTCTGTTTCCAAGCTGTCTTGCTGTTATTTTCCTCCCAGGCCAAACAGCCTTTCCAGAATTGGCCCTGAGGACCTTGTGGATCACTCGTGCATGGTGAGCTCTTAGGTACTTGCATTCACTCCTGCAACCACCAACAAAGGAGCAATTCATTGCCTGTGCTAAAGGTGTTGGCTGTGGCAGCAGTCTCCTGGGACAGGATGGCACCAGTCCCACCATGCAGCAGTATATGACTGTACATGGAAATGGGGCAGCCAGCAAGAAGGTCATATATTGTCTGAAGTGGTCTCCAGCAGACACACAGGTCTGTTTGGTTCCTTATGGATAAATACAAGGGAATGCACTTGCACATAGCCTGCCAGAGTGCTGGCAGTGGCACTACAGGAAGAATCTCAAGGTGTTGTTCACTGTCCACAGGAGGCACAGGCTCCACATAACCGGGCAGCTGGAGCGGCAATAACCTGCCGTGTGCTGCCAGGGGAAGCACAGGACCAGGCAGGGCAGTCGTTCTCCTGTCCCAGTGAATGTGTGGCAACTGATGCGGGGAAGCTGGGGAAACACAGCTCGTACAGCGAGGGGATGGCGCGGCTGCGGCTCGGGTTTGCGGACAGAGCAGAGCAGCAGGACCCGGGTTCAGGGACGCCCGAGCTGAACGCCCCGGGCAGACACCGAGCTCACAGCGCAGGAAGAGGAGCCCCGGTGCCGGAGCCGCCGGCGCTCACCCCCAGCGCGTGCAAACACTTGATACCGTGCGGGCGCACCGGGACCCGAGCGCGATCGGGCGGGGCGGGATCGGGCCGTGCGCAGGTGCCGGGGGAGCGGCCCCGTCCCGCCCTCTGCACACCTTTCCTCCGGGCCGGCCGGAGCCGCGCCGAGACCACGGCAGAGCCCGGACGGAGAGGCCGGGCCATGGCGGAGCAGAGCAGCCCCCGAGCCCCGCCGGCGGGACGCGCCTGGGCGGGCGGGCAGTGAGGAGGGGACGGGCGGCGGGTCGGGCCAGGGCTCGACGGGGCGGGCAGGCGGCTGTAGGAGACCTGGACGGGGCGGCGATGGGGACGGGACGGGCAGGCGACTGTGAGGGCTTGGGAGGAGGGGGAAATCGGGACAGGGCGGGATTAGGGAGGCGGCCGGGAGGACGCCGGGAGGGCTGTGGGATCGGGGAGGGCAGGTGGCTGTGAAGGACACGGGCCGGGATCGGGACGGGGCGGGCAGGAGGAGTGAGGGATCGGGACGGCGGGGCAGGAAACAGGACGGGGCGGGCAGGAGGAGTGAGGATGGGGCCGGGCGCGCCGCTGCTATCCTCGCCGCCGTCTCTCCTCAGCGCTGTGCCCGGAGCGGGGCGGGAGGGGCCGCCGAGCAGCCGCGCCACCGCCCCGGGATCGCTGTGGAGCCGCCGCTGCCGGTATCTGCGCACGGGCAGGGGTGAGCGGGGCGGGGCTGCGGGAGCTGTTCTCCCCCCCCCCCCCCCCCCGTGCCGGGATGGGACCGGCCCGGCCCGGCCCCGGCTGCCGCAGCGCTCGTGCCCACGGTCTCCCTTCATTCCAGCGTGCTGCCAGATGGTGCAGGCGCTGCTCGCCGTGCTCATCCTGGTCTGCGCCTCCGTGTCCTGCGGGCCCCCGGGCGGCTACACCGGCCTGCCCGACCTGGGCGGCATCTACTACTACCAGTATGGCGGCGCCTACAGCGGCTTCAGCGGGGCGGACGGGGAGAAAGCCCGGGAGCTCGACCAGCGCTTCTACCTGCTGAAGCTGCCGGTAGCGAGGGCAGCGATGGCCGTGGGAGGCTGCCTCCTGGCTGTCTCCTGCGTCCTCCTCTCGCTTGGGGTTCTGCGGTTACCGTGGCGCTTCCCAGCGTGGCTGCTGCTGGAATGTGCCCTGGATGCAGTGGTCGCGATGGGCATGGTGCCTGCTCTGTACTACTACTTCCACTTTCTGCTGGAGGTTTATAATTCATCAGTGTGCAAAGAGAGAGAGCAGCTTTATCAAAGCAAAGGCTACCAGGGCTTCAGGTGCAGCCTGCATGCGGCAGAAGTTGCAGCTGGCCTGTGGGGCTGTGTGGTTGTCATGGCATACCTGATCAGTGCAGGGCTTGCAGCCAGGGCCTACACAGCTGTTCGGACACTGAAGCAGAAGCCAGTGCAGTTAGAATGATCACTCCACTCCAGCACTGGCCACGATTTTTGCCACCCTACTTACACAGGAAGGCAAAAGCTCCTTACTGCTTTTCCGCACTTCTGAGCAGTGCATTCTTAATGCTGCCCCAGAGCACACACTAAACATGGGAGAGTGAAGCAGTTCCTAACCTGGATTTGCATTACTATCAGTGGACACAAAGCTAGACCTATTGTCTGTGTCTGGTGGCTGTCCCGTAGCAGAGTGTGACCATCCCGCAGCTGAACAGCAAGCCTTTCCCTCCCCTCCACCGGGGCCTTGCTCTCTCCAGTGAGGTCTTGCTCCAAGTAGTGCTACTACATCCTTTCTGTAGCTGAGGCTCCTTACAAAGGGCATGTGACAGCTCACACAGAACAGACGCCCATGGTTGCGGCATCTTGTTGCTGCATTCCTGCACGTCTGTTAGAACTAAGGGCCTCCTGAACATGGTGTGTATGGAGCCATCGCACAATCCTGAAATAAAAGGTGCAACATGATCAATACACTCTGCCCAAGCTATGATTTGATGCCTTTCATATTCCTGCAGAGGGCACGGTTTTGTATAAAACGGTCCTTCACAGAACTTGTATCCAACAGTTGCTTAAGAAGATGCCCCATGTTGGGATAATCAGATGGAAGTTTTAAGAGCTCAGAGGTACGGTTTAAGACAGACATATATTGTTTTCAAAATACATTTTTAATGTATGAGCTGGGGAAATGAGATGCTGCTCTTGCACTTTATAAAAAAAAAAGGTTAAACTTTACTTTTTAAAAAAAACTATAGGAAATTTAACAGGGAAAAAGAGGAGCACTAGAGACACAAAATTGTGCCTCAGAATGAAATGTCACTTCAGAGCAGTGCCCACTTTCTATGGATGTGCATTGTCCATATGAAGGTGGATCTGCCACTGGTCTCTTAGACCTGTTCTGCCCCACTAAAAAATCCCCCAAACCCAAACACCAAACTAAACGTACCAGAAACATGCTGCGTCCTGGACAGAGCTCCCGTTTTATTGGCACTAGTGGCTAAATCCTCACAATTACAAATTCGATGGAACACTGTTGGAATTAGAAATAAGAAAGTAGAACAAATGCTAAATATTCAGTACTCGGAGTTGTTTGCTTTCTCCTCTCTTTTAGTAGCTGGATGTACTACTAGCTTTCAGTAGCTAGGTGTGCACATACACCCCTGCACTAGTGCAGGGATTTATGTGGACAGTTCACTATCATCTGTACTTCCTGGGTGCTGCAGCTCCTGCTGGAGCTCTACAGTCCTGTTTAGAGCAACAGCTCAGGACTCCTGGGCCAAGACACAGAAAGCTGCCCAGTAATGGGTGTCATGAATTCCACCCTCATAGCATTCTGCCCAGTACCTTTCCTATGGAAGGCTGATGAGCAAAGTAGCACCAGAACTCAGAGAAGGAGACCCTTCAGCACAGCTCTCTACACCATGGCTGTGTGTGACTGAGGCATTGCACAGATTCCCTCCAGCACAGTAATGGAATCAGAATATAGTTAGATGAAAGTAAAAACTCTTTTATTGCTAAGTCAGCTGAAAAGTTGATGCAAAAATATTCTTCCTTCCTAGACTGCTCCATACATCTGAATAAAGAAGCAATGATATAGTGTTTTCCAGCAGTCTTACATGATTTGCATCTCCAGAGAAATACAAACACAGGCTTCAGTGCTAAAGGGGCATTCACTGGACAATCTACTCCCTTATACAATAAAAATGGGGATTATTATAGCTGCATGCTAGAGTGGGATACAGAGAATATTCTCTTTTTTTAAAGAAAAAAGATGATAAATAGACAGGTGGTGCGCTGCAACACTTCTTTAATATGCACTGGGTCATGAGAGTCAAGTTAAAAAAAAGTAGCATTTTAAAATGTGAAAAAAAGAGGAAAACAACCACATTTGAGTGTTCAGACAGCAACAGAACAGCCGACAATGATTGCCCAAAACCAAAGAGGTGAACCTACCGCCTGAAGGAGGCCTTTGGCAAATGACAGGAACCCATCCCTGCTGGAGCGCAGGAGCTCCGGATGCCCCCCGGGCTGCCAGTGTGGCTGCATGTCCTGTGCACTAGGAGAAGGATTTCAGCTTCACAGCAGCCTGTCCCCAGGGAGGTGAAGGGGAAATACTTGCTCGTTCCTGGAACAGGGTTCTACCCTCCCATCCACTTGAGGATTCTCATTGGGTCCCTGATGTGGCGCTGCTTCCACCAGGCCCATTCCTGGTGCCTGGAGCAACTTGGAGACTATCCGTTACCCGTAATCCTTTGGCCCCAGCTGCTCGTCACAATAAAACCTTTATAGGTTCCTTTTTTGGAAGCTTTTCCGGACAGGGAAGGCCAGACAGGTCAGTGCCTTCAGAGTACCTGTTCCTAGGAAGTGTGGTCATCTGCAGAGCCAGAACTACTGACATGATGAACAAAGGAATTTGCAGCCAAACCCAACTGTGGCTGCATGAGTACAGCATGTATGCATTGCTCAGCAGAGCTAAGAGAACCTGATGACCCCAAGCCAAGAATACTCCTCCAATAGCAACTCACTAAGAAATGGGACATCCTTAGTGAAGTGTCTCCGTGAACATGATGTATCTGTGCAAGAATCACAAACAAAAAACAGGGAAGAGACTGGAGAACAGGAAAAGAACTGGGAAAACACTTATCTATCCCCTGCTATGAGTTCTTCATTAGACTTGCCCATTCATACCCGTTCCACCTACAGCAGCGCTCTCAAGGAGCTTGAAATGTAAGGTGGCATTAGTAAGTACAATGAGAAAAACAAGAGAAGCTTGACAGGAGAACAAAAGGTGGTGGAGGAGGAAAGCAGTCAGGATGTATTGCCCAGAATAAGACAACCAGTTCATGTACCAGCTTAAGAGAGAAGGCTCTGGACTCCACCTAGTGTAAGAAAACAATCTATGTTCTGTCATGACTATTCACGTCTATAGAAAATAGGAGCTGGCTGTATTAAACTCTCTGCTTCAAAACCAGAAACAGCACTGGGGAAAAAGGCTACACAGGAATTCCCTGTGTTCCATTCTGCTACTACCATGAAGACGTGCAGCTCATAGATCTGTATGTTCCACTGCAGAGCTTTATGTTACTCAGTCCTTTCCCACTGGGCTAGGTAGAGCCATTCATTGACTAACGTACTGTGGACATACCAACTCCCCATGCAGTGCTACTGGTTCACACTGGTAAGGAATTTTCCACATCAGTGATTTTCCACATCAGTGCAAGAAACAGAGACCTGATTTGCATTAACATCTGCCACTCTCCTAGTGTGAGGTTTGTCCTGTCTTACTCAGAAAGAAGAGTGTATTTCTGCATCAGTCATGTACTCAACAGAAGCTGCTTTACAGCCCTGTCAGGTATCAGAAAGTGCTGGGCTGGGCAGACATTTGGTAAAATTACCACCAATGACAACTGAAAGTCAGTCGCATACACTGGGCTGAGCCTTCTCTGTGCACGCACATGAAGAGAACATGAAAGAGGCTTGGGGTTTAGTCCTCTGATGTTTTCTGCTGTTGTTTCTCTGCTTAACTGATCCAAATGCTGCTGTTTGAGATTCTAAGAATTAGCTTTTCTCTCATTTCCAAATAAAACAGGCATTTGAACAGCAAAAATCTGAGAGAGTTTAAACCTTGCAAAAAGGTTGTGTTGTTTCATGATTACACTGTGAGTAGCACACGGTATATCCTAAAATGTTGCTGTCTCATGCATGGTAAAAATGCCTTTTTTTTTTTTTTTTCCTGGTGAGAAGAAATTCAAAGTGCTTTGAAATCTCAGTAAAACTCCATTAGATTGTGTCAGTCTAATCCCCACAAGTAGTCTGCACAGTATTTCCTTCTGAGCAAGGCGTGAGTTTGATCAAAAAATATGCAACTCAAGCCTCTCAGAGCTCTTGAGAAGAAACTTTCAAGTTTTCTTCATAAATAAAATTAATAAAGAAGACAAGGCACTAGCTCACATTAGCCAGGATTACTGCACCACCAGCATGATGGGGTAGCTGCTAACCAGGTCTGCCACAGGAGGACAGATCTGTGTGCTCCAGCGCCAGGGGTCTACACACAACCCTTAACTCAGGGGACTGCACAGGCCACCAACCCACAGCCTGCAAGAAAAGACCTAATGGAAACAGTGCATCTGCGAATGCAGACTGGCTTGTTCGCCATCAGAGGCACTGTTTAAAACATCTTTTCCAATGCTGATAAAGATACTACTAAGGTGAAAAGTTCTATTTTCCCTTTTGCATTGAAAACTAAGCAGAAGTATGCTTTCAACTTGTCTGTGGCCAAACTGGGCACATACCATGAAATGCAGGTTGCTGTGGATCTGGGGTATGACTCCAATTGCAGAGGCAAGCAAAGATGCTGTAGCTGACAAAGCAGAAGTTTGTGTTGGTGGCACAGAGCACTGAATGCTTCCCCAGCAAAAGAAGGGCAGCTTCACTGCTCACTGGCTTAGAGCAGCACACCACTGTTACAACTGCTTTTCCTCTTAGACACGGTACCACTGAACAAGCACAAGCTCCTGCTTTCACACCATATTTTTCTGGATAAGGAAGCCTCTACTGGGAGACATCCATTGGGGAGGTGGCCAAGCTGCTGCTGGGCTGGGCTGGTGCTTACAGTGACGAGAGCCAGGTCTGTGTGTTAATCAACCAGCCAAGAGCTGATCTTCCTGTGGTCCCTGTGAGATGCATCAGCAGGCATCTGCTCAGCACTCAGCTCATACCACGCAGCCTGATCCCATCATGAGCTTCACACTACCTGCACCAGTGCTCGTCAGAACACTGGTATCCTGAGTCCTTCACTGCCTTAACAATGTCCACTGAGAAAGGCCCCCCTGCACACCTTCTGGGGACTGCTCTCTCCCCTGACCCTTTATAATAAAAGTGCTGGGCTGAAGGGGAGCAGAACAACTTAAGTGCAATCAATAAAAGTGCTTTCAATTACTGCAGGAAACCATTCTTGGGTCAGCTGCATTGCAACTGGCTGTATTCTTTCAAGGAATAACAAAGCCAGGTGCTGGGGGGTGGGGAGCTGCATCATAAATATGAACAGGACTCTAAACACTGAATATTGCCCCTCAGCAGCCTCCTCACCCCCCATGCCAGCCCCTAAGCTGCAGATCTGGCAGAACCTCAGGGTTCAAAGGGTTACAGGCAGGTGTGGAACATCTGCCTTTGTTCTAGTGCCTGCAGGATTCCCAGGTGGTCCCTAGCACAGAGCTACTGGTCCAAGTGCTCATGGAACAACCAGGACACTACAGTGAAAACTCAACGGCCCAGACCTTGGCACACCCCAGTTCTTCCATTAAGGAAGCAGCAGATGCCTGTACTCCTTGCAGATCCCAGCTCCCCTCGGAGGTCAAGACAGCCCCTGTGGGACAGGGCTTCCTGGGACAGAGAATGGGAGCAGTATTTGTAGGGTTACAAAGCTGTGTCAAACTCCTCTGGCAGAGTTACTGCATGTTCCTCTTTCTGTTCCTGATCTGCTCCATTCTCCTGGTGCTGCTTCATTTGTTCCTTCACTTCCTCCTCCAGATCAGGTGGCACCACAAATTGATCTTCTGGCTCCACCTGGGATGGAGCAGCAAAATAGCCTGTCTTCTTCTTGGGTGCCTCTGTGGCTACTTCAATGAGGTTGAGGCTCTCCTCCAAGGGCACTATGGAACCATTGGAAAGCTTCTTTCCATACAGACAGCATGTGGAAAGAGATTTTTGCAGTTCACACTTCTCCCTTACCCCTCTCTGCACAGTGTTCACACTGTTCTGTCTCCGAATGACAAGCCCAGAGTCATCCTCTGGCCCTGGAGTAGAGGAGCTGTACTCTGCAGCAAGAGGTTCTAACTCCAGACCCTTTCCTTTACAGCAGTGAATGTCAACCTCTACCTCCACTTTACTACCATTTGTCATCACACCTTCCACAGGCTGCTCATCATCACTATCCAGACCATTGTCAGACTGGTTGCTAGAGAAGGTGGCACTGGAAGGCTGGCGCTGGAAGATGCTTGAGGGAGGTACAGGATGCAGACTGCAACGCCGCTCTTGCCGTGGTAGCAAACCACTATCAAGACTAAC